GCCAGGCCCTTGTCACCAGCTCCACCATGTCCTCGTCACCAGCACTGTCACCCTCACTGGGTTTGGTCCCAGTCGCACTGGTGGGAGCCCAGTGCCCCCCCATTGGGGGACACCGGGGAGTCCCCTAATTGGGGGGGGGGGACACATGGGACGCAGGGCAAGGGGGTGGCCGTCACTCCAGGTGCCACCAGAGCTGGGGGTCCTGGTGTCATTGGGAGGAGGGGGGTGTACAGCAGGAAGCAGGCAGGGGAAGGTGTGCCCGGCGGGCAGAGCTCCTGGCACGGCGCTCCCGGATGTGGGACGGGTGCCATGGGGTGGCTTTTGGGGCCACCGTCCCCAGCCCGCGCTGCTCCCCCCGCTGCTGCTCGCCCTGGCACTAGCCACAGCCTGGGGGGCCATCCCCGCCGCCTCGGGGCTGCCAGGGCCATGGGGCACGTCGGGGTGCATCCCCCTCACCTCGGGGCTCGCTGGGGGTCCCCACCACCATGAGGTGGCACAGACTGGCTGCCGTGGTGACAGAAGAGCCTGGACCCCAGCCTTGGAGACACTGCACGGCACCCATGGGTGCCACGGGTCCTGGGCGAGTGGGACCTCTGTGCCAGGGCCACCGCAGTTCCCAGCACCACTGGTGGTGGCACCGGTGATGGCCTGGTGGGTGTCCCCATCACCCTGCCCATGTCCCCGTGGTGGCCACCACGGTGTCCCCACCAGCTGGGCTGCTCCCCCTGCACCCCCAGGTGATGAGATGGGACACGCTGCGATGCCATTGTCACTCGGGTTGGCACAGTGGGACATGCTGTGATGCCACCATCACTCCAGGTGGCACAGTGGGAGATGCTGCGGTGCCACCGTCACTCGGGGTGGCACAGTGGGACATGCTGCGGTGCCACTGTCACTCGGGGTGGCACAGTGGGAGATGCTGCGGTGCCACCGTCACTCGGGGTGGCACAGTGGGACATGCTGCGGTGCCACTGTCACTCGGGGTGGCACAGTGGGAGATGCTGCGGTGCCACCGTCACTCGGGGTGGCACAGTGGGACATGCTGCGGTGCCACTGTCACTCGGGGTGGCACAGTGGGAGATGCTGCGGTGCCACCGTCACTCGGGGTGGCACAGTGGGACACGCTGTGGTGCCACTGTCACTCGGGGTGGCACAGTGGGAGATGCTGCGGTGCCACCGTCACTCGGGGTGGCACAGTGGGACATGCTGCGGTGCCACTGTCACTCGGGGTGGCACAGTGGGAGATGCTGCGGTGCCACCGTCACTCGGGGTGGCACAGTGGGACATGCTGCGGTGCCACTGTCACTCGGGGTGGCACAGTGGGAGATGCTGCGGTGCCACCGTCACTCGGGGTGGCACAGTGGGACATGCTGCGGTGCCACTGTCACTCGGGGTGGCACAGTGGGAGATGCTGCGGTGCCACCGTCACTCGGGGTGGCACAGTGGGACATGCTGCGGTGCCACTGTCACTCGGGGTGGCACAGTGGGAGATGCTGCGGTGCCACCGTCACTCGGGGTGGCACAGTGGGACACGCTGTGGTGCCACTGTCACTCAGGGTGGCACAGCTCAGCCTTCACCCTCCTGTCAGCACCATGGGAGCCACTCGCAGCCTCCGAGCTGGAATTTTGGGAGCAAATAGAAGGAAAACCACACCAGGCGGGCACAGCCCTGCCCAGCACCCCGGCCCGGCTATTTTTAGTGCCCGCCTTGATTGAAATTCATGGAGGAACGGGGCAGGGAAGCGGTGAGGGTGGCAGAAGCGGTGAGGGTGGCAGTGGGGGCTGTCACCCCTTATGAGTGGTGGCACTTTGTGTTGGGCTCCCGGCGGCACGTGGAGGGAGCTGGCAAGGGGCAGGGAAGCGGTGAGGGTGGCAGCGGTGGCTGTCACCCCTTATGAGTGGTGGCACTTCCTCCAGGCTCCCTGCACCGGGATGGGGGGAACAGCCCAGCGGGAGACCCCCCCAGACCAGGGGGTCCGTGGGGGGTCTGTGCCCGGGGGGCAGCGTGGGGCGTCCCCCAAATGGGGCACACGGGGGCTTTTGGGGGTCCCCGGTGCCGGTGCTGAGCGGGAGGGACCCCCAGTGCCAGGTCGTGCTGGGGAGCCCCGGTGCCGGTGTGGAGCACCGGTGTCGGTGCGGGTGAGGTGCGGTTCCGGTCCCGGTCCATGTCCCGGTGCCGGTGTGGTGCAACGGCGACCCCCGTCCCGGTGCGGTGCGGGTGAGGTGCGGTGCCGGTCCCGGTCCGTGTCCCGGTGCGGTGGGGTGGCTGTGGAGCGCACTGCCGGTGCCGGTGAGATGCAACGTCTCTCCCGGTCCCGTTCGCAGTCACGGTACGGTGCCGGTGCGGTGCGGTTCCTGTCCTGGTCTCGGTCCCGGTGCGGTGCAATGCCGGTCCCGGTCCCGGTGCGGTGCCCGTGCAGTGCGGTGCAATGCTGATCCCGGTGCGGTGCAGTGCCGGTCCCGGTGCGGTGCAATGCCTGTCCCGGTCCCGGTGCGGTGCCCGTGCGGTGCGGTCCCGGTGCAGTGCAATGCTGATCCCGGTGCGGTGCAATGCCGGTCCCGGTGCGGTCCCGGTGCGGTGCAATGCCGGTCCCCGTCCG